TAATTTAATTTTGTGTGTTGATCAGATATCCTGAAACCTGACTAGATTCACTGAATCATTTTCAGTAGTTTGTTTTGTAGATTACACAGGTTTCCTCAATACATAACATGCTTGCAACAATGGCTTTCTTCCTCTTTTTCCCTCCTCCCCCATCTTGCTTTCTGATTTTTATGCTGTTTCCTTTTCTTGCCTTATTGCATTGGCTGGGATCCTAGTACAGTATGGAACAGATGTGTCAAAAGTGACCCTAAGTATGGTGTTGTTAGTTTTCATAAATGTATTTAATCGGTTAAAGATCGCCATTATTTCTGGTTTGCTAAGAATTTTAATCAGTACCTACTGAATCTTTTTTTCCTGCTACTGTAGGCTTGGGGTTTTCTTTGTGGGAAGGTTTTTTTTTTTTTTTTTTTTTTTTTTTTTTTTTGAGACGGAGTCTTTGTCGCCCAGGCTGGAGTGCAGTGGCGCGATCTCGGCTCACTGCAAGCTCCGCCTCCTGGTCACGCCATTCTCCTGCCTCAGCCTCCCGAGTAGCTGGGGCTGGGACTACAGGCGCCCACCACTGCGCCCGGCTAATTTTTTTTTCATTTTTAGAGACGGGTGCTCACCATGGTCTGATCTCCTGACCTTGTGATCCGCCTCAGCCTCGGCCTCCCAAAGCATGGGATTATGGCGTGAGCCAACACCCAAGGTGGAAGGTTTTTATGTACGAATTTAATTTCTTTAATAGGGATAGGGTCATTTGCAGCTTCCCCCTTATTTCCAGTATTTCAAGAAGAGGCGATTTTAATATTACATTGTGACAACCAAGACAAACTCCTGGTTTCTAATAGAGAAATGGCAGATTTCGGTTGGGGACAGCCAGCTGGAACAAGGGTCTCAGAACGTTTCAATGTGCCTGAAAGTGAGGGGCCTCTTTCAGGACGAATGGGGGCCTGTCGAGAAGACAAAGAGCCAGCTCTGGAAAGAGGTGGCATTGGTGAAATCTGGGACGACCTGAGCATCAAAAAGAATGAAGTCCATGAGTTAACTGGGATACATCTAACTGGGTTTACATCCATGAATCCACAATGACACTCTAAGGAAAGAGAACGCCTGAAAAACTCACCTCAGGCAGATCTTAAAACCAACTCTCTTATTTTGAATATTGGCGGCCAAAGGAAAATCGAGCATTATCTTGTTGAAAGTAGAAGAACGAGGCCAGTATAACCAAATGGCTTTAAGTATGGAGACAGACCTCTCAAAAAGGACTGTTGGGTTGGGCATGGTGTCTCATGCCTGGAGTCCCAGCACTGGATTACAGTGTTAGGGAGGCCGAGGTGGGTGGATCACCTGAGGTCAGTAGTTTGAGACCAGCCTGGCCAACATGGAGAAACCCCATCTCTACTAAAACACAAACATTAGACAGGTGTGGTAGCATACCTGTAATCCCAGCTACTTGGGAGTTGAGGCAGAGAATTGCTCGAACCCAGGAGGTGGAGTGTTGCAGTGAGCCGAGACCGCACTATCGCACGCCAGCCTGGGCGCAGAATGAGACTCTCAATCTCAAAAAACACTACAAAGGAATGTTGGCCCATAAATGTGAATGAGTGACTGAGTTAGAAAATCATCTTTCCAAACACCACTGAAATCACGGACCAGGGCATGGTTAGTCCGTGAGTGTTTAGACCGTGAGGTGAGCGGCCGCTGGGGACAGGGCTCTCATCTGGTATCGGGCGGCAGGGAAGGGGGCTGTGAGCCTCCCCTCGTGTGGGCATCAGCCTCAGCCTCCCACGGTGGGTCACCCAGGAGCGTATTTCCTGGTGGGAAGTGCAGGAGCCTCATCCCTGATACGCCACAGCCAAATGTTCACCACTTCTAATCCAGCAACCTGTGGAGCTGATTTCCATTTCTAAGGAATGAGGGGGGATGGGAAAGAAACCCCCAGGACAGCAATGCCAGGACCCTGTGGGGACCTTTCCTGACACCCGGCCTCCTTGGTAAGGCAGGTGGATGACCTGGTTCCACGCTCTGATCTTCCTTAGACAAACCTGCCTCTCGAGGAAATTGTGGACAACTGGAGAAATTGGAAAATGTACTAGATATTGGCTGATATTGAAGGATAGATGTTTTGTTAAGTATGGTAATTCGATTTTGGCTCTGTGGGGAAATGCTCTTATTTTAAAAAGATGTGCACTAGAGAAAAAGAACCAGTATGTGGCAAATACATCCATGGATGTCCTCCTGGTTTAACTGGTTTCTGCCTTCCGACGGCACCTCTGTGATTGCAGTCCAGACCCGGCATCAGACCGTCTCCGCAGGGGAGGAGCTGGGTGCCTATGCTGTACAGGCAGCCCGCCGCCCACCGCCTGGGCCTCACCTCATGAACGCCAAGCACCATGGCAGGCATGGGCAGAGCCAGGCGGCTTCACGCCCACATCAGCAGCTCAGTCTCGCCTCTCCACTCCCAAGTCCTGCAGTTCTGGAGCATGTGGGAAGCTCTCAGGGCTGCTGGGCAGCAGGACCTGGTCTGAGTTTGACTGAGTCTGCCTGGGTCTCACATGCCTGACTGAGTGTGAGCGTGTCTGAGTTCCTACCGCAGAAACATTAAAATGCTTGGCGACAGGTAATAGAGATTTCTGGATCTGCACTGCAGTGCTTTTCTAAAACTGGGAATATTCTGAGTCTCAGAGCTTGTCTGGATGAGGAATCCCAGGCCCGATTCCCAGACAGGAACCCGAGGCACCAGCAGCAAAGCGACTACCCACCTATCCATGCAGCTCAAGCCGGGAGGCACCCTCCTACCTTCCCAACCTAGTCGCAGCATAAAAAGGAATAGGACATTCCAAAGTTATATTTAAATGCTAACTGCATTGAATTTTGGCAACATTTGCCAGGAGCAGAAAGCCTTCAAAGATTTAGCAGACAAAACAAAACTAGCCAGCGAGCATTGTCGGTGCTTTAAAAGTAAACAGGCTTGGAGCAATGGTGTTTGTTTTAGAAAGTTGACGAGTCTTGCAGGTGGATCATGGAGTGCTCATCACTGGGTATTCAACTAAGATCCCCTCTGGTCTGTGCCTCATAAAAAGAAGGCGTATTCCGCTGAAATTCAGCTCCTGGAGCTAAGAATTTCAGAAATGCCCTGTACACCAGGTAAATTGCAAAGGCAAGGCCTGAGGGAGGACTGGGCCCAGACCCTGGGGGCTGGCGTCCTCTCCCCTCTCCTCCCTGAAAGTTGGCCCAGCCATCCTCTTTCCCTTTGCCCCTCTCCCACCCTCCTGGCCCCTTCTCTCCCCTGTCTTTCTTCTGCACTGCCTTCCAGCTTGGGAGCAGGGCCCAGCTTTCCTTTGCCTGGAGGATTAACGAGACAAAGAGAGTGAAGATGTGGCTGGCAGACTGCCCGCTGCCCCTGTGGCCGGGCCTCTACTGTCAATGGAAGGTGACTGCAGGGAATGTTGGAGAGTAATGGGGTCATGAGGCAAGCAGGAGGGGGTGGTTGTTCTGGAAGGTTCTGCCGGGCCAAACTGTGATGAAGATTGCAGCATGAATACGCCCTTCCATCCCCCAAAAGTCCAGTGTGACACCTCAGTTTATTACAGTGTTGACAGTAATAGTGTTCTAAGGATATCATCAGATAAAATCACTCCTCCGTAGCCTGGGGCTTCTTGCAAAGATTAGCGAGTGGGTTTCTGTTCATGAACCATCTTCAGGCTGTCAGCTTCTCCTCCCTCCCTGTGAATCCCCGAGTCACCAGCGGTGAGGGTGGGGCTCGGTGCTGACCTGTGACCCCAGCCCTGACATCCTCCAGCTGGCCGGTGCCTGGCTGAGGGCCCTGGCTGCGCTTCTGCCCACTGACTTTGGCAGGCCAGGCCCCCAGGCTGTGTGTCAGGCTCCGATCCTTCTTCCGCACGTGCTTTCCAGTAGTTCATGGTCAGCCCCAGAAATGCACACTGAGATGGCGCGGGCCTGGGCGCGCAGAACCCACACGTGGCACAGCAGGTACCTGGCTACGCTTATCCTCTGGTTAGTGCTCATTGCTACCCATGACCGGCAAAGCTAGCTAATTTCCTTGTCTTTGACAAATACGACCAGAAAGGGTCCAAACAAAACAGAAGCCGAACCCCATGAACATCTTCGACCGTGAGACTCCACGGCAGCCCCAGCCAGCCGAGGCCCCAGCGCTCGCTTTCCCGAGGGCTGATGCCTGCGGCTGTAAAAGAGTGCGTCGCGAGGTGGGGTGCGGGTACAGGAGTCAGGAACCTGGCCTCGGCTGCAGCCACAGCACCCCTCCTTCAGTGACAGGAGACCACCCCAGGTTCTCGATCCTCTGGCCTCTGGGCAGTGTGGCGGCCTCCTCCTCTGACCTGTCCAGCGCGGTTGCAGCCTGCAGCGGGGCCCCAGGGGCCGCCGTGCCGAGCACCAGGAGGTGACCCCAGCCCCAACAGCCCTCATGGCCTTGGGGAGATGCTGCACTTTCTAAACTGAAACTTTTTCAACTGTAAAAATGAGGATATTTAATTTTCTGAGATGTCCCAAGTACTAAATATGAACTAAAGGAATTTGGAAAAGGACAAAGCTTATGTAGTATATAAGGCATGTCCTGAAGTTGAAATCCTAGGTACATATTTTGATCAAAGGTGAAATAAAATTGCATTTAAATCTGCAAATTGAGGGATTGTGGCAGTTTGAAAGTTCTGAGATGCAGTGGTTTCTTTACATGCTTGTTGCAAGTTTGTAAATATCATGGCAAAGGTTTACTACATATACATCTTAAAGATAGGAAGAAAATTTAGCAGGAAACATTCAATCCAATTGACTTAGGTTTTATTGGGCACCAGCCATGTGCTGGAGAACCCTGAGACTCTGTTGCAGCTCGACCCCGAGGTGGGGTTATTATGGGGTCAAAGGCGCGCCATTTCCCGTGATGAAGATCCTGTGAACTCTGGCGTGGGTGCTTGGACCCCATGCGGTGTTCTTTCTCCATGACTCCGAAGCTCACGCAGAGCTTCCGGAGCTCGCAGGCCTCAGGCTGCCATCTTGTCCTTGGTGTGAGGGGCTCGGCGACCCTCCTCGACCCCGCCTGGGCACCTCCTGGCCCTGCAGCATCTTGTTCCTCCCCTCCAGCTGCTCAGCCCATCCCACGCGGAGCCTGGGGCAGGGTGACAATTTCGTCATTGTGAGTCAAGCTCTGGGACTTCGAGTGACAGCTAGCCTGTGTCTCTCTCAGCACCTGGGCACCTGTGAGAGCAGGAGTGTGACACTCGCCGCTGGGGGGTGTCACCGTGTCCCTGCCCAGCCGGCAGCTGTGACCTTGCTGGGTCTCCCAGGGCCCCGGTTGATCTTGGTCTCAGGCTGCTGCCCAGTGGGGGTCTCACTCAGACCCTCCTCACAGGAGAGGAAAATGCCTGCCCTGAAGCAGCCTGGGCCCCCACTTCTGGAAGCTTGAGCCCCAGAGAGACTACGCCCGAGCTCCAGCTCTGCAGCTCTGTCTCTGCTCTGCTCACCGAGTGGCAGGTGCTCCTGCAGGACGGGGCGGCTCTGTGGCTGCCTGGGCCTGCTCTGCCTCCCCTGCACCCCCTGCCTGGCTGCCTGTGGGTGCCCACTCTTCCAGCTGCCGGCCCGCCTCACCTGCCCAGCCCGGCCACAGTGGACGGTGATATGTTGATCTCAGCCCCACGCAACGGGGGGACCTGGCGGCAGGAATGGCCTGGTCAAAGTGGTCCAGGCTCCCCGAGACCTGGGCAGATCCCTACCTGCCCGTGGCTGCTGCTTCCTTCAGCCTCAGGTGTTTTTGGCTTTAGATGTTGGAGAGTGGGGTGGGTGCCCGGCTCCAGCCAAGGGTGAGCTGTGTCCATGAGGACACTTGTCCCAGATGCCCAGGACCTGGGTGACGGCGGCGCTGCTGAGTGGCAGGCGGTATAGCCTGGATGGCTGGGCCCCACGGTGATGGTCCCTGAGCTTGGTATCGCCTCACCTTGCCAGGCCATGGCCTAGGACAGCTCCAGTATGCATGAGGCCTAGGACAGCTCCATGCATGAGGGGGTCAGCTGGGCAGGGCGTCAGCAGCTGCTGCTGTCCCACAGACTTGGTGCCTCCAGGCCTGGGTCCTCAGCCCTCACGGCCGGCCACCATCCCAGAGAGAGGCTGCCAGGACAGCCAAGCCCGTGGTGATGGAATCCAGTGGCCTCTGTCCCTCCACAGGGGACCGTGGGTGTCCCGAGCCAGGGGGCTGTGGATAGCCAGCTCCACATGGGCCAGCTTCTCTCTCACGGCAGCCTCCCAGGGTGGGCCTGGCCCATGGACTCACATGGACCCTCTCAGCTTTCTGGGCTTCATGCAGGAGGGAAGTTAGGCTACTCTCTAACGGAACTCCTAAGAGTGATTTTAAAAGCGGTGGCTGGCCCCGTGGCCTGGGGAGAACTGGGCTATGGGTAGATGGAGGGGGGTCGTGCAAATGGAGGCTCCGCCAGCCCCTGAGAGAACCCAGTGCCTGCCTGGGACACCAGCCTCCACCTCGGGGGCCGGAGGAGGCAGTGCAGACACAGACTCAGGGCCTGAGCCCACTCCTGGGACCTGCACCTGGGCAATGGCCAGAGGACACCAGGGTACATGGCACAAGCAGAGGCAGGCGGAGGCACGCGGAGGCACACGTCTGGGAAGCACAGGGCAGGGTCGAGGCAGGGCCCGTGGGGCAGGCACTTGGCGCCCTGGGGGCCTCTCCTCCTCCTCCATCTGCCGAGTGCCTGCCTGGTGCTGGGCTCTGTGCTGGGTCCATGTCTGTAGTTGGGTAGCTGGTGAGTGGGGAGGGGCACCTCAGGCTCTGGGGCCACCTCAGGCTGAGTAAGGGCAACATGGCCTTTGCTTGGGGCTTGAGCACCAAGGGGGCTGCCCTGAGCCTCTGAAGCGCTCTGCTGTGTGTCAAGTAGGTTCCAGCAAATGAGGAGTTCTACCCATCCAGCTGTCCCTGAAAGCAGTGGCTACACCCCGGGCTTTGCCCAGGGTCACCCACCTTAGCACCCACAGACTTCGGGCTTGGCCCTAGGAGAAGGGCGTGCTGGCTTCATATCTGCCTCTCCTGGAGCATGTCTGCTAGGAGGAGGAAGGGCACAGTGCACGGATACGTCACTCAAGGGCAGTGACTCCCAGAAAAACAAGTTAGAGAAAGACATTTCCTTCTGGAAAGTTCGTGTGATCCTGACGGGTGTCAGGAGATGGCAGGGGGGAGGGTGTGTGTGGGTGAAGGGAGGGTGTGTGTTGGGTTGTGGGTGAAAGGATTGGGTGGAAGGATGGGCTTGGGATGTTGGTGAAGGGGTGGGTGGGAAGGGGGTGTGTGTGTTGGGGGTGGTTGTTGGGGTGTGGGGTGGATGGGTATGGATGAAGTGGGTGTGTTGGGGTGTGGGTGTTGGGGTGTATGGAAGAGCATGTGGGTGTTGGGGTGTTGGGGTGTGGGTGAAGGGGTGTGTGTGTTGGGATGTGGGGTGAAAGGGGTGTGAGTGCTGGGTGTGGAGGAAGGGGGTGTGGGTGAAGGGGGTGTGTGTGTTGGGATGTGGGTGAAAGGGTTGTGAGTGCTGGGGTGTGAGTGGTTGTGTGTGGGTGAAGTGGGTGTGTGTGTTGGGGTGTGGGTGTTAGGGTGTGTGTGTTGGGGTGTGGGTGAAGGGGGTGGGGGTGTTGGGGTGTGGGTGAAGGGCATGTGTGTGTTGGGGTATGGGTGTTGGGGTGTGTTTTAGGGCATGGTGCGAGTAAGAGTGTTGGGATGTGGGTGAATGGAGTGTGTGTAAATGGAGTGTGGATGAAGAGCATGTGGGTGTTGGGGTGTGTGTGTTCGGGGCCAAGGGGGTGTAGGTGAAGGGGGTGTGTGTGTTGGACTGTGGGTGAAGGGGGTGTGAGGTGGGATGAGGTGTGGGGGTGTGGGTGTTGGGGTGTGGGTGAAGGGAACGTGGGTGAAGGGGACGTGGGTGAAGGGGGTGTGGGTGAAGGGGGTGTGGGGGTTGGGTGTGGGTGAAGGGGGTGTGGGGGTTGGGTGTGGGTGAAGGGGGTGTGGGTGTGGGTGTTGGGGTGTGGGTGAAAGGGGTATGGGGGAAGGGGGTGTGGGTGTGGGGGTTGGGTGTGGGTGAAGGGGGTGTGGGGGTTGGGGTGTGGGGGAAGGGGGTATGGGGGTTGCGTGTGGGTGTTGGGGTGTGGGGGTTGGGATGTGGGGGAAGGGGGTGTGGGTGTGGATGTTGGGGTGTGGGTGAATTGGCCGTGGGCACTGTGGTGTGGTGTTGCCTGGAAAGCGATGTTTGATCTGGGCTCCTGGTCTCACGGTTAGCAGCGTGGTGTCTTGTCATTTCCCACTTACTGTTCCGAATGTGATCACTAGGCTGTCAGTTTCCTCCTGGGTTGACTCTTTTCACAGGTCTGGAGCTGAGGGGTTTCATGGTGGGTTGAGGGCTAGGGCTGTGTCCAGGCACACTGCTGGCTGGGCTCTGCCCCTGGGTGACGAGTGCGGCTCAGGCACAGGCATCCCCCACGCACTGTACACCCTGACTCACTTGTTCAGGGCGCTCCTGCGAACCCTCATGTCCTCGTTCTGCAGGTGTCTTGCGTGATGCTCGATTTTTTTCTCCCAAAACATCTTTATCCCACCTGAATCATATGCTACTCTTCCAGGATTCTTCAGTGTGAGGCTTTTACTCATGTTCTGGAAAATTAAAAGTGGAGAAGAGCTCAGCCACCTTGTGCCATTCCCGTTGAGGAGTGTGTGCTCCAGCACCCAGACGGCAGAGGAGCTAGCTCAGCCTGGAGCACCGTGGTCCCCACCTTTCCGGCACGTGGGGGATGGTGGAGGCTGCCCTCTCTTGAGACTCAGGCCTCAGGTGGCTCCTGGCCGGCTCCTAAACCCTCTACCCACTCTGCCTTCTGGAGCAGTCTCCTGGGTTCTACCCACTCTGCCTTCTGGAGCAGTCTCCTGGGTTGACAGAAGTAGAAACAGAGGGCAAATCCCATTTTGGGCTTTTAGTCATTTTAAAATCTAAGCAATGATGCACTTCTAACTCTGTGTGTTAGTGTGGGTGATCCGCGGTCCCACCAGCGAGGCGAGTGTTTCTAAGATGGGGCTGTCGCTCCTGTGCCAGGTGAGTCCATCCCTTGTTTTTGAGATAGGGTCTCACTCCCGCCACCCAGGCTGGAGTACAGTGGTGTGATCTCCCCTCACTGCAGCCTTGACCACCTGGACTCAAGTGATTCTCCCACCTCAGCCTCCTGAGAAGCTGGGACTATAGGTGTGCACCACCCTGCCCGGCTAATTTTTGTGTATCTTGTAGAGATGGGGTCTCACTATGTTGCCCAGGCTAGTCTTGAGCTCCTGGGCTCAAGCAATCTTCCTGGCTCAGCCTCCCAAAGTGCTGGGACTACAGGTGTGAGCCAACGTGTCTGGCTCAGTCGGCCTCTCTCGACACTTGGTTATTGGGTACCTTTTGGTTTGAAATATGTAAACCTGGGAGTGGGGTTAAATGTGGCAGGTTATACTGAAAAACTTCAGCTCTGCTATTTGATGTAATATGCTAAAGTGAGGCTGACTGAAATGTTTACTTTCCAATTATTTTGGACTCCAGCATCTACAGGACACCAGCAGTCTTAGAATATCAATCTACAGCCATCAAGAATGTCCAAGGCCGGGCGTGGTGGCTCACGCCTGTAATCCCAGCAGTTAGGGAGGTCAAGGCTGGCAGATCACTTGAACTCAGGAGTTAAGAGACCAGCCTGGCCAAATGGTGAAACCCCATCTCTACTAGAAATACAAAAATTAGCCAGCATTGGTGGCGGGCACCTGTAATCCTAGCTACTTGGGAGGCTGAGGTAGGAGAATCACTTGAACCCGGGAGGTGGAGGTTGCAGTGAGGTGAGATTGCACCACTGCACTCCGGCCTGGGTGACAGACTCCATCTCAAACAAACAAACAAACAACTAAAGAATGTCCATGACAAAGGGCAAGTGCCGACAGCAGCAGCCTTTACTGGAGCCCCACTTGCTCCGGGTCAGCTCTCCCTGGGAGGCGTGGAGCCTGGGTCCCTGGGCAGTGCCTGGCCTGGCCTGGCCCCAGGTCTCTGCGGACAGCCCTGCTCTGTGCTTGAGGATGGGGTTTACACAAGGGAGCCAGAGCCACGTTTCGGGGTGCAAGGCAGCGGGTCTCCAAATGAAAGAGGCATCCACTGTCTGGGGCCGCCTGAGCCCCTAAGCCGCTATCCGGAAAGCTCCTCAGGGCCTATCAGGTGGACAGCGCCATTTCTGCAGCCCTGGCTGGCTCCCTCAGGGCACTTTGTTCTTCCCCTTGGCCTTGCTTGGCCTTGGAGGCATTTCTCTTTCCCCGCCCCCCACGCTTCTCTCTTGCTGGGGAAGAACACAGGGCAGCAGGAGTGTGGCCCGAGGGGAAAACCAGGCAGCTAAGACCCACGGGCTCGCTTCCTGCAAACACGTCACCTGCTTCAGGTGGAGAGGGCGAGGCTGCCTTCTGGAGCTTGGCTCAGGCTGCAGTGAATAGGGGCTGGGGACTCCTTCCAGGAGCTTGATGTGACCCCTGGCTGGGGGCTTCCAGCTGCAGAGGTACGGACACGGCAGCCTGCGCAGCCTGTTGTGATGTGGGTGCTGGGCGCTTTGCTGGGAAGCTGCCCCTGGAGGGCCACAGAAATCACCCATCGATGCCACGCCCTTTGTTCCAGAAACTTAGACATGCAAAGTTGATCACGAAGGGACTGAACTCAGCCATCCTGCCTGTGCTGAGGACGCTGGCGCAAATTCAATGAGTGGAAACTCAGCCAATGAGGAGGGTGGGATGCACGGACCCCACCAGTCAGGGCCTGCCCAGTTGCTTCCCCGGAACTTCGCGCCTCCTCTGGTGTCTGGGCAGACGCCTCCCCGAGTGAAGCCGGGGCTGGTGTCCGATTCAAACCAAGTTAACAGCTGGAAAACATCTGACAGCTGAGACCTGGCTGTTCTTGGCAGGGGCTTCAGAGAGCAGCGTGGACGTTAGAGCTTTGGCTCTTAGGATGATTAGCCTCCAAAGGCAGCCCTTTAAACCCTCATGGGACGAAAACAAACCAGCAGCAAAAGGGAGAACCAGCAAACTAGCAGAGACAGAAAAAACAGACATGCGGCCAGGCGCGGTGGCTCACGCCTGTAATCCCAGCACTTTGGGAGGCCAAGGAGGGCGGATCACGAGGTCAGGAGATCCAGACCATCCTGACTAATATGGTAAAACCCCTCTCTACTAAAAATACAAAAAATTAGCTGGGCGTGGTGGTGGGCGCCTGTAGTCCCAGGTACTCTGGAGGCTGAGGCAGGAGAATGGCGTGAACCCGGGAGAGGGAGCTTGCAGTAAGCGGAGATTGCACCACTGCACTCCAGCCTGGGCGACAGACTGAGACTCCATCTCAAAAACAACAACAACAACAACAACAACAAAACGACGACAACAACAGACAACAGTGTGCGTTGGGAGGCAGGTGACGGAGACATTGTCCCCCGAAGGCGTTGACGTCAGGAATCCCAGTGGAAAACAAAATTACAAAGTTTAATTCTCCCAGCGAAATACGGGTGGGCTCACGTATTGTGCCAGATATCTCACGTACTCTGTTCACATTTTGGGGGTCCCCAAATGCAGCGCCAATCTCTCAAGCAAGGACAGCGCCTGTCACATCACAAAGAGCTTACTTTTCCAACCATTTCTCAGCGACCAGCGGGTTTTCCTGTCTGCCGAGGGTCCTCAGCCTGTCCCCTTCCGGGATGCACGCCTGTATCTCGCCTGCCGCTCTCTGTTATATGGGCTCGGTGACACACACGCTTGGCGTCGGTTCAGTCCCAGAAAGACGCGCTGCCCTCTTTTTGGGCACCGTCCCTGGCAGAGCTGTCTGTCCGGCAGGCAGCTGTTGGCAGCATAGGAATCTGGAGGGTAGCCGGCTGCGCCTCCTCTGCCCTCAGCCCCCACAGGACTGTTTTTCTTCTTTCGATGGTTGCTCCCAGGAAGCTGCGTGGGTGGGAGGGAGCCGGTGTCTGGCAGGGGCGTTGGGGCATCTGGGAGTCCCTGGTTTTGCCCAGGCCTGTGTCTCAGGAATGGCGGCCTCTGCACTTAACGCAGGCGAAGTGTCTATCACAAAACAACAATGCAGACACACTCGAGGCAGACACAGAAATGCTTAGGGTCTCTCTGCCCGGCCCATACATAGATTTACGTATTTATTGTGAGGAGCTGGCTCTTGTAGTGACAGGCGCTAAGAGGTCTTGGGATCTGCCGTCTGGGACTCAGGAAAGCCTGCGGTGTCAGTCAGCCCGACTCTGAGGGAGGTTGGTGTAAATTTCAGACCTTGGTCCAGAGACGGTGAGATGAGGCGTCCTGGAGCAAGCAGGAAGGCAGGAGAGCAGGGGCCATTCCTCCTTCCTCCACCGAGGCCCCTTCAGGCCGTCAGAGGATTGGATGACGCCCAGCACGCGGGTGTCACCCCGTCCACCAATTCTGATGCCAGTCTCGTCCGGAAACACCCTCCTAGCCACACCCAGAAACACTGTCCCTGCCGCCGCCCTGGTGCCATCAGGTCTATGCATAAAGTGAAGCCCCTGTACTTTGTCCTGGACGGGGCTCCTCTCTCAGGCTCCATCCCTCGAGGCCTCAGGGAGCCGGCAACAGGGCCCGGGCCAGGGCCAGCCTCCATGATTTCTTTCCCATCTCCTGGGTCACTTGGTTCTTTACGAGGTTTCCAAGTAATTGATAGTTTCAGGTGAAAGCTTTTGGGAAAATTTCATTTACTATCATAAAGCAGACTGTACACTTGTTTTTTATATTATCCTTCACAGTTTTTTTTTTTTTTTTGACTAGAGTTCTGGAGTGGGTGTCATCAGTGGGTTGGGAGCTGTTTGTGATTTCCCGAGTCCTGGTGTGTGCTCAGGACACATTGATCTGTGGCTCCCTGGAAACTGGGGTTCGGCTTCACGACCCGCCAGGACGTGACCCAGCACACAGAATGCACGAGGTGGAAAGACAGCACTCAGGCAACAAGCGTGGAAGACGCTGGTGGGAACCAGCAGCTGCTTCAGAAAAGCTGCTGTGTGCAGCACAAATGGGAGGAAGCGACCTAAAAACGGAATAACCCCAGGAGGCCGTCTCCAGCAGGGCTGCGGTTTTGTAAAGCCCGTGGTGGTCGCCCCAGGTCCTGTGCGTGAGCGCCACGGGGATCCTCCACCTGCTCTGGACACACGGGAGGAGGGAGCCGAGAAGCCAAACCAACCAACCATCAAAACACCGGCCTAGGGCTTCGAAAGGTGTGCCTCCAGGCCCTTCATTCGGACGTGTTCGCGGAGGGACGTCAGGGCGCCACTGTGCTGGCCGTGCCTGATGGCGCTGCAAGGTCGCAGGGAGCGCATTCTGATTTCCACGTGTTTCGGAGTTTGCAGGTCAAGTTTGCACTATCTGCATAATCAGCCAGAGAGAGGAGGAATTTGGGAGAATGCGTTTGCCCCACGCTGAGGCGTTTGCATTTCTTCCTCTTTCCTGAGCTACCCCAGTGCAGTGGGCTCCAGACGATCCTGTGGCAGGAGGTTCTGAGTGAACTCTCCTGCACCCGCCACCCCGACCCCATCAGAGGCGGTCTTCCAGGCTGCAGGGCTCCAGCTGCCGGGCTCAGCCGCCTTCTAGCCCAGGAGTCCCGCCCGCCGCATCCCCTCCGCCCACCAGCCGGGAACGCTGCCTCCTAGCCTCCTGTGCCAGTCCCGTCCTGCGCCCGTGTACCTGGGCTCTGTGACGATGAAGGCGGCGTCCTCACAGTCGCAGCAGCAGCGCAGGCTGAGCCTTCCCTGTGTGCGGCATCACCCAGCACCGTCCTTTGAGCCTCCCGGGAGCCCAGAGTGTGGAGGCCGCCAGACGCAGGACCTGAGAACCTGGACCTGGGCCCAGTATGCGCAAGAGTTGACAAGTGCTGAGCAGTGTGTCCCCTTGCATGGCCACTCTGGGGGCTTCCACCTGCCTAAAGGACAGCTCCTGAAGCACCTTGGCCCTGCACTCACGGTGGCACGCAGGCGCCGTCCCTGAGCCCAGGGGTCAGGCCCAGGGCCGTTCCCTGAAATCTGCCATGAAGGCGAACGCTTGGCCCAGGGCTCCTGAGGCTGGTGGTGGCTGCTCCCCACGAGGCCTGCTGGCTCCCAGGGGCCGCCCCCCCTTGAGAAGGGGGTGCCGTCTACGGCTGGGCCATCTGGAAGGGGCCCAGTGATCACATTGTAAAGTCATTGTTGAACTGGGTGTTATTAACCACTAGTGAGCCACAGTCATGACATCCTTTGTAAAGAAAAATGTTCCCAACTGAAGCGCTCGCCCATGTCCGTGGTGAGACGCCTGCGTGGGGCAGTCTCTGCTTCTCCGCAAGGACCCCCTCACTGCCTGCTCAGCTGCACCTGCGGATGGCGGCAGGAGAGCAGGGCGGTGTGGTGGGCTCTGCGCCCAGCTCACTGTGAGCGTGGCTCCCTTTGCAAAACGCCAGAGAGACCAGCGCCCTCCTTGCCCTCTCCCTGCTTGGGGCTTCTCTGCGCTTGGAGGGGGCCCAGGACACAGCGGCCACGAGCCTGCAGCTCAGGCTTCCTCGTCTTCCTGGAGGGGGCGTGAGGAGGGGTCTGCAGGCTGTCTCCCCCCAGAGCAGCCTGCGAGGTCCCGTGCTCCAGGGACACCCGTCTTTGACTCTTCTCCTGGGCCGCAAGGCTGAGGCCCGAGTGCGGAGGCTGCACCTTCTCAGCTCCACTGTGACCTTCTCTCGGTGCCAGGGGACATGCCTGCCCCCGCGCACATCGCCGCCCAGCCCACCTCCTGTCTGAGCCCTCTCAGCAGACAAGGCCCTTGGTGCCTGGAGCCATTGGGACACATGGTGGAGCTCAGGCCCCTGCGTGGGGAGGGGAGGAGCGAGTCCCAGGGTGGGGAGGGGGTGAATCCCAGCGTGGGGAGGGTGTGTCTTTTGCGTCCATGGTGCTCCGTCGAGGCTCCACACGCTGGACAGGCCACAACTTCTCATGGGACTCTGGCAGATGCCTGGCTCAGTGTGGCCGCCCTACTGAAGCGGCATCCCAGGCCCCAGCAGCCCAGACCCCGCCCCAAGCTGCCCTCCCCATGCCCAGCTTGATGAGTACACAGTGTTGCCTGCTAGCACCCACGTCCTCCCGAGGGGTCCCTGGGCTGCAGCAATGTTTGGTCTGAGTGAATGAGACATGGGGGGACAGAAGCTCGTGTAACTGCAGAGTCCCCTGCCACAAAGCACAGGGTGGGAGGGTGGACCAGAAGGCAGCATTGCACCCACCTCGTGAGACCTTGGGGGTCAGCAGCTGGGCTGGGAGCGGCCTGGGAGGCAGGGATTACCTCTGGGGCCATGTCTGGGGCTGGGACTTTGCCTAAGCCAGGCGTTCTAGGAATGAACTTTAGCTGCAGAGTCCGTTATGCATCTGGCTCAGCGTTGGGGAGAACAGGGAGTGGTGGGGTCTGTGGAAAAGTGAGATGCAGCCATGTCCACGGGCGGCTGGTGCTAAGCGAGGGCTCACAGCTGCTCTGGGCAAACTTTTTCCATAGATGCCTCAAATCTTAATTTTTAGGAAGCATATCCAGATTTTAGGGTGTTGACTAACTACTATTTCACCTAAAAAAAGTCACTGAGCCGGCTCCCCCATGTGGGCCGGACACAGCATTGTACTAGAATCCCAGCAGTGTGGGGATCCTGCACTTCTCGGGGACCCGTGGGGGCTGTGGTGGGTGTCTGGGATTCCAGGGTGGGGGCAAAACCCTGCGTTTGAGGAGCCCTCAGATGGGGCAGAGAGAGCTGTTCCGGGACGTCCTCCATCACGGCAGGTGGGAGCTGAGCAGCTGCGGGGAAGGGTGAAGGCGTTCTCCTCTAGACTCAGGAGGCAGACAAGTCTCTCGGATTAGACAGCACCGAGTGGGAAGGTGGCAGTTTCATGAGTTTCATGATCGATTTCCTGACCAGAGCCACCTGCAGAGGAATCTTTTTCCCGAATACCGTATTTTCTAAGCTATTAGGAGCACAGCTTGGCAATGACTGAGGGTGTCTGGACGGTGAGGTGTGTGCTGGGAAGCCTTGAGGCACCGTCCCGTCCGGCGTGCCCCAGGAACATATGTGGGGAGGGTGCCGGGCCCTGAGCCTGTGGGTGTCGTCAGGAGGTGGCCCCTCTTTTCCTGGTTCTTTGCCTGCTGGTGCTGGTCTGTGAATGCCCTCGGGCCGCCTCCTGGAAGAGCCTCTTCCCTGGGCCGGTGCTAAGCTGCAGAGGCTGCAGGTGTGTCTCTGTACGTGGCTGTGCTCTGTGGGCTGCGTCTTTTCTCCTACTGTCTGGGATTGGCTGCCTTCCTCTGCCCAGACGTGGCTTGGTTCCGTTGGAGTCCAGTGTCAGAGGGCAGTCGGATGTTTCTAGATCAGCTGTGTCCACAGGCGCACGGGCCTCCTCATCACCGTCCCTGCCCCGGGCTGGTCACAGGCGCTGGGCACCACACTTAGGCCTGGCCATCTTCTGCCCAGGAGAAAAGGGGGAGTGGGTGCTGGGATTGTGTACTTGTGTGCACAGGTGTGTGTGCAGGGCTGTGGGTGTACGCACGCCTGCGTGTTTAATCAATACAAAGTGGGCTGGGAACCTCACCCTGAAGTGTGAAGGGCCACGCCTCATTTAGAATTCTTCCCTTTTTCTCCTTG